GCTGGAGTGCAATGGCATGATTTCAGCTCACTGCAACCTCTGCCTCCCAGGTTCAAGTGATTCTCCTGCCTCAGCCTCCCACCTCAGCCTCCTGAGTAGCTGGGATTACCGGTGGCCACCACCACACCTGCCTAATTTTTGTATTTTTAATAGAGATGGGTTTCCACCATGTTGGTCAGGCTGGTCTCGAACTCCTGACCTCAGGTGATTTACCCGCCTCAGCCTCCCAAAGTACTGGGATTACAGGCGTCAGCCACTGCGCCCAGCCCCATCTGGGGTTTTAACTGAGCTGGGATTTACTCTGATTGGCCCTGGATGGATCATATGACCATCTCTCAGGCAATCCACTGGCTTGGTCTGGATCATGTTCCTACTTCCAGAGCTAAAGGATGGGGTTAAGGCAAATGGAGGAGTCCATGAAAGCAGAAAACAACATTCCTGACATCAAGCCCACAGCGCATGGGATGGTGTCCTCCCTACTGTCTCCCCAGGAGAACTGGGTATCAGCTGGGCGTGGGACATGGCCGTCACAGAGGGCCTGCCTGGGCCCAGGAATGCTGTTCTCACAGGCCTCTCTGTGCTGTCTTGTTCCTGGTCCAGACCCAGCCCGTAGTGGAGAGCCTCGGCTTCCAGGGGGGCCGTCTGCAGCGCGTGGAGGTGACCTGGCGAGGCTCCCACCCTGAAGCCCTGGAGGTGCACGTGGGTAAGGTGCAACCTAGACCAGTGTTCCTTCCATGGGTGACCCCACTGCCACAAGGAGTCTGCCTGGCAAACAGACCCTCTAGGATTGGGATCTCCATCTCTCAAGTCCTGGGTTCTAGGGCTCATCCCCCAGGGCTCCACGGCCCATCTCCCAGGGTTCCATGGTCCATCTCCCAGGGTTCCGTGGTCCACCTCCCAGGATTCCATGGTCCACCTCCCAAAGTTCCGTGGCCCATCTCGCCAGGTTCCATGGCCCATTTCCCTGGGTTCCGTGGTCCATCTACCAGGAATCCATGGTCCATCTCCCAGGGTTCCATGGTCCACCTCCCAGGGATCCATGGTCCACCTCCCAGGGTTCCATGGTCCACCTCCCAGGGTTCCATGGTCCATCTCCCAGGGATCCATGGTCCACCTCCCAGGGTTCCATGGATTCGTCTCCTAGGGTCATCTCCTAGGGTCCATATCCCAGGGTTTCATGGGTTCATCTCTCAGGGTTCCATGGTTCATCCCCTAGGATTCTGCAGTTCATCTCCCAGGGCTCTGTGGTCCATCCCCCAGGGTTCTGTGGTCCATCCCCCAGGGTTCTGCAGTCCATCTCCCAGGGTTCCGTGGTCCCTCTCTCAGCATTCTGTGGTCCATCTCCCAGGGCTCTGATCTCTATTCCAGGACTCCATGACCCAGGTCCTGACCTCCTCCCTCCTGGTCATGGTTATTGTGGCTGCTTGGCAAAGACCTGGTGGTCGCTGAGTGGTAGCTGATCTCTCAGACCCTGTAGGCCCCCTGGACAAGGTGAGGAAGGCCAAGATCCGAGTCAAGACCAGCAGCAAGGCCAAGGTGGAGTCTGAAGAGCCACAAGACAATGACTTCCTCAGTTGCATGTCCCGGTGGGTGGCAGGACCCTGGGGGGGGGAGGGGGGTGGGACTGGAGGTGCGGGTCTCCCTGGCCCCGGCCCGGGCAGCTGAGTGGTGCCTGCCGGGCGGGGCAGGCGCTCGGGTCTGCCTCGCTGGATCCTGGCCTGCTGCCTCTTCCTCTCCGTGCTGGTTATGCTGTGGCTGAGCTGCTCCACCCTGGTGACCGCGCCTGGCCAGCACCTCAAGTTCCAGGTGGGTGGGATCTGTGAATGGCACTGGGCTGAGGGAGGGGATGGAGGCAGAGAGAGCTGCTTGCTGGCCCTGGCCTTGGCCACCTGCTCCCACAGACACCAGGACCTCAGACTTTTTTTTTCTTTTTTTCATATATATATGTACATTTTGAGACAGAGTCTAGCTCTGTCGCCCAGACTGGAGTGCAATGGCACCATCTCGGCTCACTGCAACCCCCACTTCCCGGGTTCAAGCAATTCTGCTGCCTCAGCCTCCCCAGTAGCTGGGATTACAGGTGTGGGCCACCATGCCCAGCTAATTTTTGTACTTTTAGTAGAGATGGGGTTTCGCCATGTTGGCCAGGCTGGTCTTGGGCTCCTGACCTCAGGTGATCCATCCGCCTCAGCCTCCCAAAGTGCTGGGATTACAGATGTGAGCCACCACGCCCAGCCTACATATATACATACATATACATATATATACACACACACATATACATATACATATATATACACACACACACACATATATATATATTTAAGACAGGATCTCACTCTTTCACCCAGGATAGAGTGTGGTGCAATCACAGCTCACTGCAGCCTCGGCCTCCCTGGCTCAAGCGATTCTCCTGCCTCAGCCTCCTGAGTAGCTGGGACCATAGGCACTTGCCACCATACCCCACTAATTTTTGTATTTTTTGTAGAGATGGGGACTGTGTTGCCCAGGCTGGTCTCGAACTCCTGGGCTCAAGCGATCCACTCGCCTTGCCCTTCCAAAGTGCCAGGATGACAGGCATGAGCCAACTCCCCCAGCCAGGACCTCAGACTTGCTGCATGACCTGGAGCCAGTTTCTTCACTGCCCTTTGAATTGGTGGAAGAACATCCACTCTTCTTCTCCTTTTTTTTTTTTTTTTTTTTGAGATGGAGTCTCTCTCTGTCACCAGGCTAGAGTGCGGTGGCACAATCTCAGCTTACTGCAACCTCTGCCTCCTGGGTTCAAGCAATTCTCCTGTCTCAGCCTCCCGAGGACTAGAGGCGCAAGCCACCATGCCTGGCTAATTTTTGTATTTTTAGTAGAGATGGGGTTTCACCATGTTGGCCAGGATGGTCTCGATCTCTTGACCTTGTGATCCTCCCACCTCGGCCTCCCAAAGTGCTGGGATTACAGGCATGAGCCACCGCACCCAGCAGAACATCCACTCTTAGTTGGGGAGACAGGAAGTCAGAGGTGGCCACACTTCTGTGGTGTGGGCCTCACCTCTGTGGTGCCCAGGTATGTTGGTGACACCTCTGTGGTGCCCAGAGCCTGGGCAACATAGTGAAACCTAGTCACTACAAATAATTTAAAAATTAGCTAGACGTGGCCAGGCACAGTGGCTCAAGCCTGTAATCCCAGCACTTTGGGAGGCTGAGGCAGGCGAATCACCTGAGGTCAGGAGATTGAGACCATCCTGGCTAACACGGTGAAACCCCGTCTCTACTAAAAGTACAAAAAAATTAGCTGGGCGTGGTCATGGGCGCCTGTAGTCCCAGTTACTTGGGAGGCTGAGGCAGGAGAATGGTGTGAACCTGGGAGGCGGAGCTTGCAGTGAGCCGAGATCGCGCCACTGCACTCCACCTTGGGCGACAGAGAGGAGCAAGACTCCGTCTCAAAAAAAAAAAAAAAAAAAAGAAAGAAAGAAAGAAAAGAAAAGAAAAAATTAGCTAGACGTGAAGGTGCATCCCAGCTACTTGGGAAGCCGAGATGGGAGGATCACTTGAGCCTGAGAGTTTGAAGCTGCAGTGAGCTGTGATGGCACCACTGCACTCCAGCCTGGACAACAGAGCAAGACCCCATCGCACACACACATACACACACACACACACACACACACACAGAGTCCAGGTGGCTCACACCTGTAATCTCAGCACTTTGGGAGGCTGAGGTGGGCAGATCACTTCAGGTCAGGAGTTCGAGACCAGCCTGGCCAACATGGTGAAACCCTGTCTCTACTAATAATACAAAAATTAGCTGGGCGTGGTGACGTGCACCTGTAGTCCCAGTTACTCAGGAGGCTGAGAAAGGAGAATCCCTTGAACCCGGGAGGCGGAGGTTGCAGTGAGCCGAGATGGCGCCACTGCACTCCAGCCTGGGCGACAGAGAGAGGCTCTCAAAAAATAAAAATAAAAAAAATCAGAGGTGGGAAGGAGACTCGTCAGGGTCGGGGGCTTGGCTGCTCTGCTTCTCTCCACTTCCCTCCTCCCCTCTCTTCCTGCAGCCTCTGACCCTGGAGCAGCACAAGGGCTTCATGATTGAGCCTGATTGGCCCCTGTACCCTCCGCCGTCGCACGCCTATGAGGACAGCCCGCCACCCTACAAGCTGAAGCTGGACCTGACCAAGCTGTAGGCCTCCGCTGGCCCCATCATTGCCAACTGCAGGGGCCCCTCGGGCCTCACTTGCCCTGAGCCCAGGAGTCCAAGGGTAGGGTGGGTCCAGCCTTGAGCCCCTCCACCCCCAAATCTTTCCTCTCTTCCCAGTCCCACCCCTTGCCCCACAGAGTCCTGGGGATGCAGTGTCCCAGCTGGGAGGAGGGCGGGATTGGGCGCTGGTTCTTCCTTGTCCCCGCTTTCTCCGGGGCTTGCTACTTTTTGTCTTCTATTGTGTAGCTTTCTCAGTATTTGAACCCCAGTCCTGTGTCGCCATCCTTTTTCCTTCTCTGTCCCCTCTCTGCGGGGGCTGAGGCTGAGGGGGAGCTGCATCTTGCTAAGGCTTCTCCCTTCTCCCCATCCCGATCTCCAGAGACCCAGCTTCCGAGAGATGGGGTGTGGGCATCTCCATGCCCTGACAGTGTGTGCCTGGGGCTTGTCTGGGGCTGGGGAGGAATAAACCATGTATATAAAAGAGTCTCAGGCTGAGCCTGCTTCTGTTCGGTTGTCTGTCTGCCCTTGGGGTGTGGCCCATGCATAGCTGTGACCCCTGCCGAGCAGGACCTTTCTGACATGGGAAAGTCCTGGAAACCCAGGTGGCACCAGGGACTGAAAGTAGCTGTCTCTCGGAAGGGCACTCCCTCTGCTCTAACTTCCCTGTGCTGAGAGTCACCCTCTCAGCTACAGATGTACCTGGAAAACTGGCTTGTGGCCAGGCGCAGCGGCTCATGCCTGTAATCCTAGCACTTTAGGAGACCGAGGCAGGAGAATCATTGGAGCCTAGAAGTTCCAGACTGTCCTGGGCAACATAGCAAGTCCCCATCTCTACCAAAAAAAAAAAAAAAGGCATATATGTATATAATTAACTGGGTGTGGTGACTTGAGCCTGTGGTCCCAGCAACTCGGGAGGCTGAGGTGGGAGGATTGCTTGAGGCGGGGAGGTGGAGGCTGCAGTGAACTATGATTGCCCCACTGAACTCCAGCCTGGGTGACAGAGCATGACTCTGTCTCAAAAAAAAAAAAAAAAAAGTGGCTTGTGCCACCCATCTGACAGGGGCAGTTCAGTGTCCCTTCCTGTGCCTGATGTCCCTCCCATGAAGGGACAAGTTGCATGTTGAAGAGGACTTGATTTTGTAGCCACCTGGCTTCCAGTCTACTTTTTTTGGAGACAGAATCTAGCTCTGTCGCCCAGGTTGGAGTGTGGTGGCACGATCTCAGCTCACTGCAACCTCCGCCTCCCGGTGGCATGATCTCAGCTCACTGCAACCTCCGCCTCCCGGGTTCCAGTGATTCTCCTGCCTCAGTCTCCAAGTAGGTGGGATTACAGGCGCACGCCACTACGCCCAGCTAATTTTGGTATTTTCAGTAGAGACGCAGTTTCACCATGTTGGCCAGGCTGGTCTTGAGCTTCTGACCTTAGATGATCTGCCCGCCTCAGCTTCCCAAAGTGCTGGGATTACAGGCATGAGCCTCTGCACCCAGCCAGCTTGATTTATTTATTTTTCAAAAAATGAGACAGGGTCGGCCGGGTGCAGTGGCTCACACCTATGATCCCAGCACTTTGGGAGGCCAAGGCAGGCGGATCATGAGGTCAGGAGATCGAGACCATCTTGGCTAACACGGTGAAACCCCGTCTCTACTAAAAATACAAAAAAATTAGCTGGGCACAGTGGCGGGCGCCTGTAGTCCAGGTACTCCGGAGGCTGAGGCAGGAGAATGGCATGAACCCAGGAGGCAGAGCTTGCAGTGAGCCAAGATCGCACCACTGCACTCCAGCCTGGGTGACAGAGCGAGACTCCGTCTCAAAAACAAAACAAAACAAAACAAAAAATAAGACAGGGTCTCACTCTGTCCCTCATTCCTGTCTGTTCTGCAGACTCCTCCAGATTCATCTCGTAATTCTGCTTTGAGATTCAGTTAACTTGAGTTGGTTCCTGTTCCTCAAAACCAGAGATTCCTGACTGATATAGGGCCTCATCTCCTGGGCAGAGCTCAGGATGAGGAGCATGACGGCCCCAGCCCACAGGCAATGGGGTGGAGATTCCCAGCGATTCCAGGCTGTTGGAGTGACAGTGGGTTGGCAGGTTGGGGCAGCAAATTAGATGATGCCTACTGGGGCTGCGTGTAAGACTCTCCACCCTTCACCCTACCCTGATCCTGGAAGGTTGATCCACTTGAGTCAGTCAGAGGGACCACTGGCAGGAGATGAGAGGAGGGCGGAGTCAAGGTCTTTCCTGGTGTCCTTCCCAGCATCCCCTGACCCAAGACCACAGCTTGACCAAGTGGCCTCCCCTGGAGATATTCAAGATCTCTGGAGGGGACAGGCGTGGTGACTCATGCCTGTAATTCCAGTACTTTAGGAGGCAGAGGAGGGTGGATCAACTGAAGTCAGGGGTTCAAGACCAGCCTGGCCAATGTGGTGAAACCCCCATCTCTACAAAAATACAAAAATTAGCTGGGCGAGGTGGCGCAAACCTGTGTAATCCCAGCTACTTGGGAGGCTGAGGCAGGAGAATCGCTTGAACCCTGGAGGCAGAGGTTGCAGTGAGCCGAGACTGGACC